AAATTGCGTGGGCCACCTTGGCGGGGCCAGGCCGCTGGCCCTCGCCCCGCCGAGACTTGTCGCTCTGCCCCGAGCGGGCGGGCGGGCGCGGCATGGCGCGGAGGCGCGACGGGGGCGTGATGCTACTGGACAGGGTCCGGCAGGGCTCCGCAGGGGGCTTGCTGCGCGCCTGCCTCGCCCGCAGGGCTCGGCGCGAGGGGCTGTGGTCCTTCGGCGGCGTCCAGTTCGCGCCGCGGTTTCGGCGGCGCCTGGGGGGCCTGCCCGGCAGCCCCGAGGCCGCGCCGCATCAGGCGCGGCGCGGCGCGGCCAGCCGCGCGGCGGCGATCGACCGCGTGCCGCTAGCGGTGCGGCAAGAGCGCCCTCGGCGCTCGGGGCCGATCGGCGCCGCCGGCTACGTCATGCACGCGAGGAGCTTGGCAAAATTGGACAAGGGCGCCCCCCCCGCGAGCGACTGGGCCGACCAAGTGATGGCCATTTTGAACAGCTGCTTGAGCGGGGCTGCCCGTCTGACAGCGCCGAGGTGCCGGCGCGAGACAGCAGCTCGGGGCCTGCTGGCGGCCAGCCCGCGCGGGCGCGCTGTGCAATATCTGCAGGCGGCAGTTTGGCAGTGGGTTTCGGTACTGGCGAAGTCAGTCGGCAGCTGCTGGGCCCTGCCAGTTCGGGTGCCAGCCGGACCAGCGGGAGCTATTCTGACATGGCTTTGGCGCGAAGGCGCGTCGTGGGCTGGCTCAGCTCTCGCGCCTCGCGGGGCCCAGCCCTCGTGCTGCCCCAGTTCGGCAGCGTCGTGGCGGCGGCCATCCTGTGCCGCCTCGCCTTCTGCGCCGCGAAGGTCAGCGTGCCCCGTGATCAGGATCAGCGCTGAGCTCGGCTGCGACACCTTCGTGCAGCATTTTCGCGATGGCATCGCCAAGCAGGATCTGGCTCGCTCCACGCGCTGCTCTCCTTGCTCCCTCTCCTCTTCGCAACCTTAGTGCAACGTGATTATAGCCGCTGTGCATCCTATGATGGAGGCGCTTGTTCTCGCCGCGTTCGTTTCAGGCCTCGTCCGTTTCCGTGCAGCAGATTCGGCGATGTGACCTCTTACTTGGTCGCCGACTGGTTGAGGAAAAGGGGCCCGCCGCCTCGCGTGTGAAAGATTCTCGAGTCTAGCCTCCGGCTGAACTGAGCGTTTCCCACCCTCCTGCGGAGGCCTGCTCGGGCGGCCTGGGAGGGCAACGACCGTGCCGCTTCACTGCTGGGCTGTAGAGCGACAAGATTGTTTTCTGTGGAGTTCTAGACAGAATAGCACCAGCCTGGGGGGCCAGAAAAGGGGCGAGATGGGCGCTGAGACGCGATTCGTTTTCGGAAGCAGGTCCATTCGCTTTCAGACAACTTGTGGGGCATATCTCTCTACACATACATACACATACATATGCAATTTGTAGCTTGTAATATGTATGTATGTACGTATGCATGCATGTATGTATGTATGTACGTATGTATGTATGTATGTAGGTAGGTCGGTAGGTAGGTATGCATTTATGTATGCATGCATGCATGCATGCATGTATGTCTGTATGTATATATGCATGCATGCATGTATGTATGTATGTATGTATGTAGGTAGGTATGTACGTACGTACGTACGTATGTATGTATGCGTGTATGTATGTACGTATGTATGTATGTATATATATATGTATGCATGTGTGTATGTATGTATGTATGCATGTATGTATGTATGTATGTATGTATGTATATATGTACGTATGTATGTATGTATGCATGTATGTATGTAGGTATGTATGTATTGTAATGTAATGTAGTGTAATGTAATGTAATGTAATGTAATTCAATGTAATGTAAATGTAATGTAATGTAATGTAATGTAATGTAATGTAATGTAATGTAATGTAATGTAATGTAATGTAATGTAATGTAATGTAATGTAATGTAATGTAATGTAGTGTAGTGTAGTGTAGTGTAATGTAATGTAATGTAATGTAATGTAATGTACTGTAGTGTAATGTAATGTAATGTAATGTAATGTACCGTAATGTAATGCAATGTAATGTAATGTATGTAAAGTATGTATGTATGTCAGTCTGTCTGTCTGTCTGTCTGTCTGTCTGTCTGTCTGTCTGTATGTGTGTATGTATGTATGTATGTATGTATGTATGTATATGTATGTATGTATGTATGTATGTATGTATGTATGTATGTATGTATGTATGTTTGTATATATACGTATATAATAGGCGGGGGCCCCTCCCATGGGGTGCCCCCCAGCCCGGCGACATCAGGATTACGCGCCCAATGCCGCGCTTCCCGACCTCCCGGGGAGCCCCCACAGCGCCCAAGGACAGCCCAAGACGACCCCAAGAACCCCCCAGAATGTAAAGGAACGGCCCAAGACGCTCCTAAGCAACTCAGGATAGCTTTCGGGCGGTTATCCAGGTTCCCAGGAGGCCTCCAAGACACCCCAAGAGAGCTCCGAGAGGCCTCCCGAGAGCGCCTGGGGCGAACCTAAAGTCGTTGATTTTCATTGTTTGTTTCCCATGTTTTTGGCCTTCTCACCATTTCATGCTTCCAGCGTTCCAACACGGCCAGGCACCCAAGACCGCCCCAAAATCGCCCAAAAGGCTCCCAAGACGACTCCAAGACGGGCCAGGAAGGCCCCAAGTCTGCCGAAGAGGCGCGCAGGACAGCTCCAGACCACCCTTGACCAGGCCCAAGATGAGCCCACGAGCGGCAGCAGGATGCCTCCAGAGACCTCAGGGAGGACTCCGGGATCCCCCAGAGGCCTCCAACACACCCCAGACTTCTGAGAGGCCCACAAAAAAGCCCCGACGAGGCCCCCCAAACAGCCCAAGACAGCTGCCAGAGCCGCCCCGAGAGAGCCCGGAGAGGGTAGAACCGTTGATTTCCAATGGTTTTTCCTATTTTTTGTCGCCTTCTCACGTTTTTCCGCGTCCAGCGCTCAAAGACAGAGGATCTTGAGAAGAAATTGAATTCCAGAGATTTTTTTTCCAGTTCAGCAAATACGCCCCCCCCCCCCCCCTCCCGGGGATGAGCTCTCTGACGCTGCCTTGGCACTCTCTTGGCACTCTCTTACAGCCAGTGTAGAAATCGAGATCCCATGATCCCACGAGCTGAAAAGTAAGAATTGTAGAACTCGTTTTGTTCAAATTCACCCCCCACGAGAGGCATCCCAACCGACCGTGGCCTGCATCCCGCAAAATTCTAACCCACAGCCCAGGCACGTTCTTTTTGTGTTACATGTATATATATATATATATATATACACATGTATGTATGCATGTTTATATATATATATATATATGTATATATATATATACTAAAACATCCCACAACTCCTTTTTTAAAAGTTTGCCCCCCCCTCCCCCTGTCTACTCTTGCATTACAGACCCCGATTAAGGCCCCCTCTGAGGTCCCAGAGTAGAACCCAGGAAGCTTTTGAGGGCCCCCAAGTCGTTGAATACCTATCCGCGTTTCCGCACTTCCCCTTCTATACAACCCCGAGGCTTGCGCAGGGCCTCCAAAAGAGTCTCTGGATGAAAGAAACGACAAACATGTAATCCATGAGTATTCCCGTCAAGCCTAGTTGAGCGCGCGCGAAGCGCGCGATGGTTCTAGCATAAATATGTGTATACATGTATATATATATATGTATATATGGATTGATGCATCCTCGGCATTCGTTTCGCAGCAGTTGGCCTGGCAGCTTCGCTTTGGTACCTGCTGTCCGCCGCTGCCGCTTTGGCTCCGTCCATAATTCAAGCTCTTCCCGCCGCCCCGCTCGAGGAGCTGTAACTTGTCAAGCTGTGCGCCTTTTTTCTTTTCAAGTTGGGGCGCTGAGACGCGTTTCGTTCTCAGAAGCAGGTCCATTCGCGTAAGAAAATAGAGTGATGCCTCCTTGGCACTCGTTCCGCAGAAATTAGCCTGGCAGCTGCGGGCAGACGCGGATCTTGCACCGCCCCAGCTCCAATGAACACACAGCGGCCCTCGCCAAACCCAGCAGCGCACCACACCACCGTGTCCAGGTCTTGCATTTGCTGGACCATCAGGGGATTTAGGCCGGTTCCGTTGATCGTGATAGTGCAGCTGCACAGCATTCGCACCCTTCATGAGTCAACTGGAGAAGCTCTCCTTGTGGCCGCGCTGGCGCTTCGTAAAAACTGGGAGCATGTGAAGCGTTGGGGAGTGGAAGGGAGATAAAACGGGGCAGGGGGAAGGGGGAACAATTGGGAAAACAAGTCGAAAAGAGGAACATGTGTGTGTGTGTGTGTGCGTGTGTGTGTGCGCGTGTGCGTGCGTGATAGTGTGTGTGTGTGTGTGTGTGTGTGTGTGCGTGCGTGCGTGTGCGTGCGTAAGTGTGTGTGTGTGTGTGTGCGTGCGTACGTACGTACGTGCGTGCGCGTGTGCGTTTGTGTGTGTGTGTGTGTGCCGTAGACTGGAAGGGGGAAGAGGAAGGGTTCCAAAGTGGTCCCCAGCCCTGGAGGCTGCAAAGGGCCAGAACTTCCCCTCTGCGATCTTCGATCCCCTTGATCTTTGGACCTCGCGCAAGATCGAGAACAAGAGCGAGACAGAGAGGGGGAGAGATTGGAACATGTTTTTGTTCATCCTCCAGCGACACCGGGTGTTACTGCGGGCGAGCCTGGTGCGACATCGGCAGAAACACGAGAGAAACAGAGGAGGGCAAATACATAAGCATGATTTCATTAATCCTTTGGCGACAACGGGCATGATCCAGCTGTCTACGGCTAGTCCAACCACCGTGACTCCCGGGGAGACGCAATGCCGTCCAGGGACTTCCAGGAGTAGGCGTGGTGTACGCAAGTGGGCCCGACGTGAGGGGTGGCGGATCAGGGGAGGGAGAGACAGAGAGAGAGAGAGAGAGAGAAACAGTGAGAGAAGGCAAGACAAGAATCCGATGTTTTCTTCATCTTCGGGGGCGTTGCCGCAAGGAGGGGGGGACGAACCCCCCATCGGAGCGGAAGGCAGCCGAGCACGAGCACCTGCTGGGTTTGCTGGAGTGCCGGCACCGCCACGACCGCCGCGCCCTCCTGCAGGTGTGCGCCCTGCCAGACGCCTGATGCTGCTCCTGCTGCTGCTTCCACTTCTCGGAAGGCTTCTGGACGTCAGTTGTCAGTTCTGCGGCGTCCCGAAACCTCCAAAGGCCTCCAGGGACCTTCGGGATCGTCCTGGGATCAGGGTCAGGGGAGAAGCGGAACTTCCCACGCCTCCTCCTCCTCCTCGTCGTCGTCGTCCTCCTCCTCCTCCTGCTCCTTCTCCTCATTCCTCCTCTTCATGAAGAGTGGAAGGAGGAGGAGGAGGAGGCCGCGGCTTGCGTCCGTCGAGGCGACCCCCCCGTGCACCGAAAGGGGCGGGCGGGACTGCCGCGGGACAGCGGCGCGGCCGTGATTTCAAGACAAGGGGATGAGGGACATTCGCGGGACAGCGACTGAGGGTGGCAGCGCAGCGACGGGGTCACATGAGAACGATCTTGGGTAGCAGTAGGGCAGCGACCATTGACGGAAGGGGATGCGGACGTGGAGCTGGGCGGCGCCAAGGGGGCCAGGGGCGCGGAAGGGCCGCAGCAGGATTGTGTCCGGGCGGCAGAATGCGAACTGGTGGGTTCAGGCAGGTGCATACAAAGCTGGGGCTGTGCGGGCATGCGCAAGTGGATGTCACGTAGCGGTGTGTACATATATACCAGAAAGCATACACAGGTAAATACGAATATCCGAGGGCAAACCGGCGGGGGGTCGTGGGCAGAGTGGCCAGCACCGGTGCAGGCGTGAGCGAATGCGCGCGCGCGAACGTAAGCACGCGGAAGTATGCGCATGCATTTTCAAACTACCACAAATATTGTTAGCGTGTGCAGACTCGTGCAACGGGAGCAAATCATTGCTATAATCTTTTGTCGGGCCATTGTCAGGAATGAGACGAAACGGCGAAGCAACAACCATGATGCGTAATTCAAAGATATTGGCCTTCGGGGGCATCCAGAAGGAGCCTGTGGCCACCTTGAGCTTTTTCGAAGCCACCCTGACGCTTTAAACTGGCACGCTAGAAACAATGTCGGCCCAATTATGGCTAACCGAGAGAAGTCTGGAGTTTATGTCCACCCCTTCCTTTCCTTTCGATGGTGAATCGGACTGGTCCGAACACCTCCTCCTCCTCCTCCTCCTCCTCCTCGTACCACCACCAGTACTACTATCATTATTTTTTTTTTTACTACTACTACTGCTGCTACGACCATTACTATCACGATTACGATTACGATTAGTATTACTACTACTACTACTGCTACTACTACTACTACTACTGCTACTATTATTACTACCACTACTACTGCTGCTACTACTACTACTACTACTACTACTACTACTACTACCACAACTGCAACAACATCTACTACTAGTACTACTACGACGACGACGACGACGACTACTACTACTACTACTACTACTACTACGACTACTACTACTACTACTACTACTACTACTACTACTACTACTACTACTACCACTACTACCGCCACCACCACCACTACTATTACTACTCACACTACCACTACCACTACTACTACTACTACTACTACTACTACTACTACTACTCTTGATACTACTATTACTACTACTACTACTACTACTACTCCTACTACTCCTACTACTACTACTACTACTACTATTTCTACTTTACTACGGCGGCTATTACTACTATTACTACTACTACTACTACTACTACTACTACTACTACTACTACTACGACTACTACTACTACTACGACTACTACTACTAATACTACTACTACTACTACTACTACTACTACTACTACTACTACTACTATCTACTACTACTACTACTACTACTACTACTACTACTACGACGACGACGACGACTACTACTACTACTAATACTACTATCACTACTACTACTACTACTACTGCTGCTGCTGCTACTACTACTACTACTACTACTACTACTACTTATGCTGCTACTACTACTTCTACTATTAGTATTACTATTACTACTACTACTGCTACTACTACTACTGCTACTGCTGCTACTACTTCTACTACGTCTACTACCTCTATTACTGCTACTACTACTACTACTACTACGACTACTACTACTACTACTACTGCTGCTACTACTACTACTACTACTACACAAACAACTACTAGTAATACTAGCCACAACAACACTACACATACGTTTCTGTGAAGACGCTCCTGAGGCATAAGTACTATTAGTCGTCGTAATCGTTGTCGCAATCGTAAACGTAGCTGTCGCCGTCGTTGTTGCGCGGCGGGTGTCGTGGGGGAACAAGAGTTCCCCATGTTGGTGGGACACCAGTCAGTGAATAAGGCCGCCGCAAAAATTATTTAGTTACGCCCATTATGTTTGGGTGGTCTAAAGATTTAGGGCGATTATGTTGCGCCGTCTTGCAGGACACTTTTGGAGCCATCCTGTGTCAAAACGGATTTCTTGGCACCCGAGCGAAACTTCGGTCCATGCCCTAAGGTCTGAGGCGCGAGGCCTACGGCTTAAGGCCTAGGGCCAAAGGCCGATGGCCGAAGACCGAAGGCCTAAGGCTTAAGGCTTACGGCCTAAGGCCTAAAGCCTAGGCTCAGGGACCACGGCTTGGGCTTGAGGGAGGCCTAAGGCCAAGGGACGATGGCCCAGGCTTAAGGCTAGGGCCTCGACCCAGACCTGGCGCCTAGGGCTAGGGCTTGAGGGCTGCGGCTGAAGGCTTCAAGCCTAGGGCCTGGGCTTTGGCGTAGGTCTAAGCTTAGGGCAAGGGCTTAAGGCTCAGGGCTGGGGGCTAGGGCCTGAGGGCTGACGCCTGAGGCCAATGGCTTAGGGCCCAGGCCTCGGCTTCGGCCCAGGCTTGCGGCCAGCGCGTGACTTCGGCCAGACGCACTGGGCGCGCATGGGGCCCCAAATGACGGCCGCGAATCGCCGAACACTGGTTTTCGGAGGATTGCTGGGGCAATTCTGTTGGATTGCTCAGGGCTCTCGGGGTTGCGTTTTGGACGGTCTGATTCAATGGGTAATCTTCAGCAGATGCTAGGTGGATTTTTCCTGGCGTTTTTTCCGCGGAGATCTTCTCCAGATCCAGTGGGGGGCTTCCGCGGGGCATCCGGGATGTTTCCCAGGAGCTCGCCGTCGAGATTTCCAGGGGGCCAGGGCGGGGTCCAGGACATGACCGGGAGGGGAGCTTTCCAAGGGGATTTCTCGGGAGATTTCCGTTGTGTTTTCCGACGGGCAAGATTTTCCGCGGGATTTCCCTGGACAGGAAATTCCGGGATCCCACCAGGATTTCCGATGGGTTCCCTGAGGGGGTCTTTAATTCAACTCGCGCAGAATATTGCGCGCGACAGTAGTTTTGGAGGCCCCGCGCGCGCGAGGAAATATTATCCGGGAGATTTTCCCAGAATATTTCCACGGGGATTTCCGACGGGGAAGAATTCCCGGGGGATTTCCCAGAAGATTTCCAGGGGGATTTCCGACGGCGAAGAATTCCTGGGAATCTTTGGAAACATTCACAATAAGCAGAAGCACGATACGAATAATACGAATACTAAGAAGGCGACGAATCATATTAATAATCACAGTGATACTACTTATAATAGTATTAACAATAAAACGCCACTAATAATACTAGTACTGCTACTCCGAATCGTAATCATAGTACTGTTTGTACTCATGATTTGATCAAGAATACGAATGGTGATGCGGATGGTACTGATAATGATGTCAATGCTGATCTTAATTCGAATAACAACAGTTGTCATCATACTCGTAGTGTGGATAATATTAGTATTAAGCGCCAGAAATAATAATAGTAATACGCAGCCTGCTACGTACCCAACCCATTTGCATCAAGTGACACGAAGAGTTGGCCCAACCTTGCCATGGCAACGACAGTGATGGCGCCGTCATATGTTGTGCCTGCCACACAGGGCGCGCTCACGTGGCGCGATTCTCGCGACAACAGCGGAAAAAAACGACGAGCAAATGCCCAGGCTTGAGGAAGACGTGGGGGGGCGGGGACGGAAGACGGGAGAAGGGCGCGCGGGGGGCCGGCCCGTCAGTTTGACAACGGCGCACGGGAGGTGTCACGGGGCAGAGGGCGACGACGAACGTGACGGGAGGAGACCGAAAAGTGTTGTTTTTGTCAGTAGTACGCTAAAGATGCAGCGCTGCCTGCGCCACGTCGCCGCGGCGCTCGACCAAATGATTCAACTCGCGTATAGTTTGGGCAAGGCGCGAGCGAGACCTAGCTCGCCCGCCAGCCTCCGTGCTTCTTTTCCTGCATCCTTCAGCGCGGGAGCTAAACGCTCGAAGGCGCGTCGCCAGGTCTGCAGGCGGCCCGCGACAGCGCCCCGCTGGGCCCCCCAGCAGCGTTCGAAAATGGCGACAGTTTTGCAGATCGTAGCCCCGCAGTGCTTGCGAGGTCGAATCTGGGTCTGCGTAGCGCGTCATTCCGCGGACACCCCAGCAGCCCTCGAAATTGGCGAATAGTTCGCAGATCGCATCCCCCCAGGGATGGCGAGGTCTACCCTGGGTCTGCGTGGGACGTCATTGAGCTGGTCGCCCCAGCAGCCCTCGACAGTGGCGACAGTTTGAATCCAAGTCAGCGTGGGACGTCACCTCGTTGGACCCCCCCCGGCAGCCCTCGACAGTGGCGACAACTTCGCAGATCGCAGTCCCACGGGTGGCGTCCGCTGGACCCCCCAGCAGTCCTCGACAGCGGCGACAGTTTCGCACACCGCAGCTCCGCAGGGATGGCGAGGTCTAATCTGAGTCTTCGTGGGGCACCATTCTGCTGGACCCCCCAGCAGCCCGCCTTCGAAAGTGGCGACCGTTTCGCAGATCGCATCCCCCCAGGGATGGCGAGATCTCGTCTGGGTCTGAGTGGGACCTTACTCCGCTGGACCCCCCAGCAGCCCTCGACAATGGCGACAGTTTGGCAGACCGCAGCCCTCGTGGGATGGCGATAATTTCGCATGTCGCACGTGAGTCCGCTGGTTTTCCCCGAAGCCATCGGACGTGGTGAC